CCCCCCCCCCCCCAACCCCAGGCCGTTTCCAGAGCCCTCTCCTGTCTGTGCAGCCGACTCGAAAGCTCAGCCGGGTCCCGGCCCTGCCGCGGCCCCTCCTCCTCACTGCTCTTTCTCGTTGCAGGTAACCTGGACATCACCCCGGATGACCCCCGCTGGATCGGAGCCTGGTGGGGCGGCTTTCTGCTCTGTGGTGCCTTACTCTTCTTCTCTTCCCTCTTGATGTTCGGGTTTCCACAGTCTCTGCCCCCGCACTCAGACCCTGCCATGGAGAGCGAGCAGGCCATGCTCCCCGAAAGAGAGTACGAGAGACCCAAGCCCAGCAACGGGGTCCTGAGGCACCCCCTGGAGCCGGACAGCAGCGCCTCCTGCTTTCAGCAGCTGAAAGGTAGCAGCGCCTTGGACGTGGCGGGAGGCGGGGGGCAGAGTAATGGCGGGGCTAGGCCGCTGGGGGGAAGGTTCACCGTCAGGACTGGGTGCCGGGGAGCTTGAGGTAGCACCACGCTTGTTCCCATGGTTTGCTTTCTCTGGTCCTCTGCTTCCCTTTAGCCCTGAGAAACCAACCTGATGTTTCATCAACAACCTGATGTTTCAAAACAAAACAAAAGGCAGAGTAACTACCACTTAGCAGAGGGGCAGCAGACCAGTCTCCCCAGCAGAGACCCTCACTGGTCATCATAGCACCTGCTGCATCCTAAACAGAAATGTCCGTTGGAAGAAGGTTCTAGACCTCTCATGGAACCCTCAGAGTCTTTGAGGCCACCGCGTACAAGCGCGTTGGAGCAGGAAAGGACCTTGGAAGTAGGGCTTCCTTTGCCTGAAAGAGGCATTCTTCAAAAGCCACATCCAAAGTGCATTCCCTTCGAGTCGCTCCATCCCCTTCATGAGAGATGTGTTCCTCCCGAAAGAAGTATTAACTCAGTCTTAATAACAGAGTCACACTTGAGAATGCGGCAAGCTCTCCCAGTTGTTTTTAGAAGGTAAAGAATACACATCTCTTCTGACAGAATGGCGAGACACACACAGTGATGTGGAGTGAGAATGAGAAGCAGCCCTGTCCCACCCCGTCCCACCCCCGGGTTGTTGCCCCATTTGGTAGGGTCTCTTCAAGGCAAACGGGGACGAGCTGCTTGGTGTCCGTCACGGCCCCCCTCCCCACTGCGAGGTCTGTGCAGGGCCCCTTGAGTCACAGGAGCCCTTCGAGGGGATCCCTAGAGAACCTGCTGGGTTTTTGAAGCGGGCAAACGCACGGCTGGGGCACTCCTTCTCGTCGAGGCTGTGCCAGGAGGAAGGTGGATGGTCGCTCCTTTGCAGGGTCCGGGAACACCTGTCAGCAGCGACAGTCTTTCAGTGGTCACTTTAGAAACTGGGTGACAGGGCACCTGGGTGGCTCAGTTGGTTAAGTGTCTGACTTGGGCTCAGGTCACGATCTCACGGTTTGTGGGTTCAAGCCCCATGTCCTGGCTCGCTGCCGTCAGCTCAGAGCCTAGAGCCTGCTTCTTATTCTGTGTTTCCCTCTCTCTCTCTGCCCTTCCCCCACTTGCACATTCTCTCTCTCAATAATAAATAACGTTAAAACAAAATTTAAAAAAAAAAAAAAGGAAACTAGGTGACAGTCTCTTTACCGATCTTTTGTATAATGAAGTGCACCTTCTCTGGAGATGTTTGAGAGCCATGGGGAGGAGCTGAGGCCACCCTGTGCCCAGGTCCCCACTCGGCTGTTCACTAGAGCTGGGATCGTTAACTTCTCCACGCTTCGTTTCCACAAGTACACAGTTGTAGCCGCGTTCCTAAGTGACAGTGTGGCCGGGAGAATTAAAGCACTGCCTGCAGAAGACTGACTGTTCATAGTGCCTATTCATTAGGGATCGGAAGAATTTGTGTTAATCCTCAGATGAGACTAATTAATAACCTAATGTTATGTCTGAATCCATATTCTGTAATCGTTTCTACCAAAGTAGAAATTTGGAATTGCCCAAAGAAGGTCTTAAAAGCCAACTCTCTGAGTTCCAGAATGCATAGGTGGATGAGAAGGCCACCCACCTTGTGTCCTCAGAGGGCACCTTGACTTGGGCCCTCAGAAATCTTAATAGAAGAGCTCCCCCCTCCCCCCGCAAACAGCTGGTTAGAGGGAGATGCCTACTGTTGCCCTAATGGTGCAGGCAGCCACACAGAATATCCCAGTAACCACATCTGCAGGAATAAATAGGGCTGACGTGAGTGGCCTTGCAGAGGACATCCTCGACCAGAGCAGCGGCAGCCTTTATGGGTCTTTCCTTGTCCCAGGGTGATTGATTGCAAGGGCTCTGATTGCAAGAGCTACAGCAGTAATCTCTTACCTTTCATCTCTGGGGGTGCAAAGATGAAAAGACACAATCATGCCATCCGAGTACTCACCATCCAGCATAGGGACAGACCAGCAAGCCAGCAAAGGCAGCCTAACATGCAAAGGACTGTAGTAGCGAGCAACTGAAGGGGCGACAGAAATACAGCAGACCGGCAGGGGAGAGGCCACCTCCTGCGTCAGAGGCTGAGGGATGTCACGTATTCAGAATTCTTGGGTTATGATCTAGTTGCTCATCGACTCCATTTATTCAATTTTGTCAGCATGTGTTGAGACCCTATTAGGCTCTAGGGACACGGTGCTAGTAACCTAGGAAGCTTCTATTCTAGAGCTTGTGTCGTAGCAGGGGGAGGCGTGCAAAAGACCGAGTTAAAGCAATGGCCAGGTGAGCGTTGGACACGCCATGGCTGAACTGACCAGTACGTAGTTGGGTGGACAGGTCTGAGACTCACTATAGGTCATAGTGATCACAGGTTGTGATCTGTGCATGCACGGGCTCCACTTCTAATAATTCATGATTTTTAATTTAGAATTACAGTTCCCAGAGGCAGTAGGTCTGTTAACGGACCTAAAGAATGTCAGGAAAGGAAAGCAGTGTGTCTAGAAGAATCCCCAGGAGCCAGGATACAGTGATGGGAGCTATTATGCTAATAAACAAGTTTTACATGTGCCAGCATGTGGACGGGGGGGCCATGGTGGTTTACATCCTTTCTTTTTCCACGCGAGACGATGTTTTAGCCACATGGACGTTTCCTCCAAAAGCACCACGTGGTGTCCCTGGTGCTCCCAAACTCTTGATCCCATTTGCAACCTTGGAAGCCCCCGGGGTCTCCTGGCAGTGTGCTGCACATTTATGAGCACAGATGAACTGAGCAGCATTGTACGTGGAGGAATGAATGTTGCTCCAAAAATATGTGTGTTGCAACTCGTCCTCTGTTTCATTTGAGCTTGCCTATGGGTTTCTTCTCCAGCCATCTGTCCGTGTCCCCGGCCATGCCTTGCAGATAGGGAAGGCCTCTGGGAAGAGCTGGCACTGTGCCAGGAGCACCTGGCCCATCCACTTACCTCCTGGGCCTGGGACAGTCCCACCACTCCTGGGAGAGCAGTGGGGCTGCTCATCTGGGTTCACACCCAGCTCAGCCGCTTCCTAGTCAGGCAACCTTGGCCATGTTGCTTTAACTCCGTTTGGCTTTCACATACGGTGTCTGGTTGATACTTCACTTATTCCTGTTTATAGATGAGGAAACCAAGCTCCGGGGAGGTAGAGTTCAGGCTTGTGGTTCATTGTTCAGGGTGCTCTCCCCCAAAAAGTGGGCTTCGAGGGTCTCTTTGTAACAAAGTTGGCCATTATTTGCAACCCTGATAAGAAGAGGAGAGACAGAAAGCCCAGAGTGGTGGTCTTTAACTGTGTAGAGAAGCTGTTACTTCTTGCACAGCTCGGAAGTCCCCGTCTTATAGTGACTGTCACATCACTGTTTAACAAAGCAGGCAGCAGGCAGCCAAATGCTTGGGTTTGTGAAGCTCCAGTGTCTTCCTGGGTGGGAGTCTGCAAACCCAAGACACGTTTCTGCATCTCGGTTGTGCCACCAAGTAGCTTTTTCTTTGTGCCCTGGCTCTAAAGCCTCCCTTGCCCAACCTTGTTCTTCAGAACGTTTTGCTGATTTGTCTTTCTTCACCCCCTCACGACCTTCTCTGTGTCCGCAGCTGTGTCCACTCCTCCTGTCTATGCCAGAGCTGGGGGACAGGGCAGAGTGGGGGGGGGGGGGTGGGCAGGACAGTGTGGCCTCCTGGATCTAGATGCTCAGGGCTTGTGGAACGATTTGGGAAAGTCAAGACCCAGAGGGAGGAAGGAATTCAGGGGGCTGTTACGGACAGATGTAGTGTTATCACCAGCCAGTGTGTTAAATCTCACATCCGTAGTTTGTGTTTTATTTGGAAATTGTCTCAGGTGTCAGTTGCCCTAGAGGGGCTTTGATGGTTCGGATCCCGGCTCCTTCAGTAGCCTTATGCTATACGCCTTCCCCATCACGTTCTGTCTGGTTGCCTGAAGACAACAGGCACTCTCCTCTTTTTTTTTTTTA